CACTGGGAACAGGCTCCAGCTGTTCCTCTGCCTCACTGCTGTCTAGCTCCGTAGGCACTTGATCCCTGCCAGACGGCCTCGGACTCATCTCTGCCTCCAGCGCAGAGCCCTCATCCGAGCCTTCCCCAGCCTCCAGGACTGGCCCATCTTCCTCCCCAACCTCCTCACTGCCCGACTCCGCTGGGGGGCCACAACAGATGTTAAGAGATATAAAAATATGGGCTTGAGGTGGTCTCCCTGCTTAGATCTGGATTGCAAGGCCAGCTCTGCAAAGTTTTACCTTCCTAAGGCAACAAGCTGCTAACGCTCTAGATAACCCAAGCCCTCCCTGGCTGTTTACCTGCCCAGGTGCAGGATTGCTTGAACCTCTACTTCAAGCAACTGGTAGCTTTTAAAGATGCACATGTAGAAGTCAACCTGTAGAAAGTTAGCACCCATCCCTCTCCTAGAAGAATGAAATATTTTGAGAAATGTTAAAAAGGCAGATTATTATATTTCCGTGGATGAGAAATGGAGAAATATGCTCTTGGAAAGCAGCCCCTCCCTTCCTTAATAGCCCTCAACAGATGTCAGCACTTGTCAGAGATAGAGAGATAGATAGCTCTATTCATAAGCACATTCCCTACAGCAAGGTCTGAACAAAGGTAGGATTAGACTTCAGCCACAACAAACCCCTTCACTCCATCAGCCAAACTTCAACCAAACCTGGGAGCTCAGATCTCAGCTATGACCCCTACGTGGCTGACTCTGCCGACAGCCAGGAGTTTGATTCTGACCAGCTCAAGGTTGACTCAGCCTTCCATCCTTCCGAGGTGGGTAAAATGAGGACCCAGATTGTTAGAGGCAATAGGCTGACATTTGTAAACTGCTTAGAGAGGTATATAAGTGCTATTCCATAACCAAGTCAAATGGCAAGAGTTTGGAGACCAGGAATGCTGGCCGGAATTGGCACTGGAGCTCCTGTCTGTTGTATTGTTCGGTCTCCAAGCTCCTTCTCCTCCAGCAAGCCCTTGGCCAAGCCTTGCCTGGCCATCCGGAGACAAGGATGTGCTGGCTTCAAACCTTGCCTCTCCGCTTTCCCCCCACCATAGGTTTTACAGCAGCTTCAACAGCCATTACAAGTTGAGTGTGAAGCTGTTGTCCGAGGATTTCAAAGTCATCCGAGAGTATCATTCCAAGAACAAATACAAATACGACTCCGAGTACAATAACGAATGGCGCCAGGTAAGAGAAGGGGAATCTCCTGCAATGGTTGTCCTTATTTCCCAACCCGGCGCTGAGGTTCGTCTCAAAGGCAACTCACCTTGGCTCCCTCTCTCTTCTCTCTCTCTTTGGCAGGTCTCGCATGGTTTTCACAACATCCCTCCTGGAATCCGTCACATCTTTTTTCAGCACCAAGGCCTGAATTTCAACTGGCAGCAATCGAGCTTTGGTGCCAAACTCATGAAGTGCTTGAAAATGGCCAAAGACAGGGGGAAATCCCCAAGGATGAGGATTACCAAAACGAGCGTCACCGTTGGACCGTTTTCCCTAGACAGGGCCCTGTACAACAGACACGGCCGAGAGATTAGACACTGTCACTTCAGCAGGTGTCCCTGCCGGGGGAACTACATCCATTTGTAACGTTTTCGTAAGCAGACGCAATAACCGAGGAGTGTCCTTGCAAACCTTTTCCTTCCCCCAGAAAAGTTAAAAGCGAAGCAACGGGGTGAAGTGGCCCAGAGGAAGTTGTCTCCTTCTCATTCCCTCTGAAAATAAGAGCATTTTTAAAAAGAAAGCACGTCCAGCACCCAGACAGTTACGACAGGATGGACTTTATTGGGCACGGAAAATAATAATAATTAGGCTACCACAAGGCATCGAAACACAAAAACAGTTTGTGCAGTTTGCTTGCAATATTTGGGAAAACCACTGCCCTCCAAAGCTTTTGAACGCCTCACAATTACTTTTTGCTCTCCCTCCAAATGCACAAAGGGTAAGAACACAAGCAAAAATAGTGGGAAAATAGGTGGATATTCTACCAGAGGTTGAATTCTCTTTTCCTTCCGAAAGGATCTATTTTCTTCTACCTCCTCTGCAAACGTTGTAACATTCAATGTTAAAGTACTTTATTGTCCCTTCATTTTCTGGGCTGTTATGGCAACAGCCTGGATAATAAAATCTTCTGCGAGGCCCCTATTCCTGCCGGCTCATTGCTGCTACTACAGTTGCCATTCCATGCATTCTTAAAAAACATGCTGCAATTGTGGCTTCACAAACTTCAACTGCAGTCCGGCTGGCCTACCTATTGGCCAGTCAGGTGAACTAACGGCTGGTTCGTAGGCATTCTTCACTTTCCCACACCTGAAACAAGGTGATCGAGGCCCAGAAATGGCTGGACTGCATTACCCAGCCGTGTCTCGGAGGTTGTGTCTTGTAAAAGAAGCCTTCCTTTTTTTTTTTCCTCCTCCACAACTCCCAAACTTTGAGAAAAACTGTTTTCCCTCCACCCTCAAGCTGGAGTCCATCTTTACTCCCCATCGCTTCCGGGAAAGAGCCCCGTGGGGACACCAGAGGCTAGAGAGGGAGCCAGGAAGAGGGTTGGACACAGGCCTTCGGTTACCAGAAAGGGCACCTGGAGGAGAAGGGAGCAGTCATTAAGCAGTAAAACAACCTGGCGGGGAGTTCCTATACAACTGGGACAGCTTTGCTTTTGAAGTCCCATTGAGCTTTCCCTGGGGATTTGTGAGGAAGATATGGAAAAAGTGGGAAAAAAGGAAAGGAAAGGAGAAAAGTGGAAATGAAAGATAAATGGGAAAAAGGAAAATGAGGGGAGGGAGGGAAGAAGGAAGGAAGGATGGTGAGGGAAAGGAAGGGAAGGGAAAGGAAAGATAAATTGAGAAAAGGAAGATGAGAGAGGGAAGAAGGAAGGATGGTGAGGGAAAGGAAGGGAAAGGAAAGATAAATGGAGAAAAGGAAGATGAGAGAGGGAAGAAGAATGGATGGATGGTGAGGAAAAGGAAGGGAAAGGAAAGATAAATGGAGAAAAGGAAGATGAGAGAGGGAAGAAGGAAGGATGGTGAGGGAAAGGAAGGGAAAGGAAAGATAAATGGAGAAAAGGAAGGTGAGAGAGGGAAGAAGAATGGATGGATGGTCAGGGAAAGGAAGGGAAAGGATAAATGGAGAAAAGGAAGGTGAGGGAGGGAAGAAGGAAGGAAGGCAAAAGGGAAGATAAATGGAGAAAAGGAAGATGAGGGAGGGAAGAAGGAAAGATGGTGAGGGAAAGGAAAGATAAATGAAGAAAAGGAAGGTGAGGGAGGGAAGAAGGTGAGGGAAGGGAAAGAAAAATAAATGGAGAAAAGGAAGGGGAGGGAGGGAAGAAGGAAGGATGGTGAGGGAAAGGAAGGGAAAGATAAATGGAGAAAAGGAAGGTGAGGGAGGGAAGAAGGAAGGATGGTGAGGGAAAGGAAGGGAAAGATAAATGGAGAAAAGGAAGGTGAGGGAGGGAAGAAGGAAGGATGGAGAGGGAAAGGAAGGGAAAGATAAATGGAGAAAAGGAAGGTGAGGGAGGGAAGAAGGAAGGATGGAGAGGGAAAGGAAGGGAAAGATAAATGGAGAAAAGGAAGNCCATCCATCCATCCATCCATCCATACATACATACATACATACATACATGCCTGTTAGTGTGTGTGTTCCAGCATAACTCTGGAACGCCTCCAGCAATTTCAACCAAACTTGGTACACAGATTTATTCTCTGAATACAAATACTGTGGGGTTAAAACACCCCTAAAACTCCTCAGAGTGTGTGTTCTGTTAAGATACAGCCTGTTGTGCCTTAAAATGGCTTCCACTGTACTGCCTTATTGGCTTCTACTGTACAGCGCAGTGGAGTTGCCATGGTAACAGTTTCACAGTACTCCACAAGGGGGGGGGAATCCCTCTGGTAAGGGGGAAAATCCAACATTAGAAATTACTTTTGGTTCAGACATTTTCCCCCTATAAACTAATACCTGGGCAACGCCGAGTTATCAGCTAGTAAATTATAAAAGCAGGACAAATCTAGTAAAAAAACATACTGTACACATTTAAGATGAGATGATATAAAGCTGTCCCATCATTTCAGGGTTAAATTGTACCCAGATGTCAACTATTAAAAAGAAATCAAGAAACAAATGTATTGATTACCTTTTATTTCTAAGGGGCCATTAATGCATTGTTTGGCTTTACTCCTTTTCTTGTTGCTGCTTTCCCGTTCCGGAGTAAGATCTGACATTTTGTAAATGCCTCTCTTTACTTCATCGAAGACTGAAAACATGTTGTAAACACGGGCCGTGTAGCCGGCTAATTCTGCCACCTGCAAAACAAACAACCGATCACAATTCAAACAGAGGTGGTATTCTACCAATTCTGACCGCTTCGCCCGAACTGGTGGCGGAGATCGTAGGTGGCCCCGCCCACCTGCCCCGGCTCTACGGCATCCCATTTTGGCCCTTTTCCTATCAAAAGCACATGCGCGGACGACTGAGCGCAGGTGCAGAGGCACGCTCTCACATTTGTGAACTAGCAGGGAAGGTAAGCAAATTCCACCCCTGAATTCTATTCTATTCTTATTCTATTTTCTGCATTCTATTCTATTTTATTCTATTCTGCATTCTCTTCTTTTAACTTTTAACACTTCCCCAGGATACAAACTTGTTGTGGCCCAGCAGGAGCTGTTGGAGCTGCCACCTGACTCCAACAGAGAGGGCTCTCTGAGTCGGCTTTGGAGAATGTGGAGGACCCTGGACAGGGTTCCGACTCCGAGCAGGGCGCAGAGAGTTTGGTTGGCCACCAGGAGGCACCTGAGCCTTGGACCAGTGGGAAGGAGACAAAGAAGTGTGATCCGGATGTCAGCAGTGGGGAGGAGCCAAGGGAGTTGTTCCTAGATGCCCGGCACCGGAGAGCTAATAGGCGTAAAGAGCAATTACAATGATACAGAAGGAAATTGCATTCAGCTGGTGGTGGTGAGGCTCCTATACAGACTACAAAAGGAATG